TATCTTTTTCCATCTTGAATAACTCTATTACTGATGTCTAAATGCTGTTATATTCTATATTGTTATTATATATGTTGGAAGCCGCCCAGAGTAGTCAATTGACTAGATGGGCAGGGTATAAATGCAATAAATAAATAAATAAATAAATATCTGAAAGGGTACTTCTGTTTAAACCTGCCCAATCACTAAAATCTGCTGGGGAGAAACTTCTCTGTGTCCCAATATTGAGAACTATTTGTTATATGGAGAAATGGGGAAGAGTTTTTTTCTGTTGTAGTACCCCAACTGTGGAATGCCCTCCCCTTGGAGACTCAACTGGCACAGATATTGCCATTATTTTGGCACTGAGTCAGGATGTATTTATTTATTAGAACTTTTGGGGTTCATGCCTTTGCAGGTTTTAGTGCTGTTTTTAATGTTTTAATTTTATGTTGTCCGATTTTAAATTGTTTTAAACATCTTATGTTTAAAATGGTTTGATCGCTTTATAACCTGCCTGAGATCTTACAGTATAGGACAGTGATGGTGAACCTTTTTGAGCCCGAGTGCCCAAACTGCAACACACAATCAATTTATTTATTTCAAAGTGCCAATACTGCAATTAAAACCCAAACGCCGATGCTTTAATTTAGAAAAAACAACTGCTCCTGCACTGCAAGGGTTAAATGCTTGTGTTCCCCCCCCCCATGAGCGGTATTAACAAATAAATACTTACTGGTCCTCCAATCCCCCATTGGGCTAGACTGGTAATAGTCGCCATTGTAATCCTCCGCTGGACCACTACACCAGAAGAGAGGGAGTGCCGAAATCCGGGATCAGAGGATGGGTATTTCTCTATGGCGACATGGCTCATGTGCCCACAGAGAGGGCTCTGTGTGCCAGCTGTGGCACGTGTGCCATAGGTTCGCCATCACTGGTATAGGACAAGCTATAAAATAAAAACATCTGTAGTCACATGTGTATTTTTTCAAATAGTCTTCACCCAGAGTTTGTTAATCTTCACCCAGACTTTGATCTTCTAATTGCAGAATGCTCTTGACAGGTTTATTGAAAACTAATCTTAGGCCACTAGTAAGGCATGGAGAACTTAAGTAGTTCATTTAGTAAAAGTTTAACACCATAGGTCGTAATTACTTATGCCAGTTCATTGATTACATAAGTTTAGAACAGAGAGAAGCAATCTGTGAATGTCTTTGTTAGGTTTTTAAATTTTATTTAATTTTAAACCAAAGATTATGATTCTTTTATGGTGTTTGATGGTCCTCTGGTTATTATTAGATTGTTAACTCCAATATCCCTAATGGATATATAGTGGTGCCCCGCATAGCGACGTTAATCCGTTCTGGATTAATTGTCGCTATGAGGAAACATCGCTAAACGGAACGGAAAAAACCATAGGAATGCATTAAACTTCATTTAATGCATTCCTATGGGGCCCAAACTCACCGTTCAGCGAAGATCCTCCATAGCGCCGCCAGTTTTGCACCCTCGGTAAGCAAGGGCAGGGCGCAAAAACACTTGCGGCAGCCATTTTGGGCACCTGGGGGCCATTTTGGAACCGCCGATCAGCTGATTCAGAAACATTGCAATGTGAAGATCGGTAAGCGAAACGCTTACCGATCATCGCAATGCGATATTTTACCAATTAAAACATTGCAATGCGATCGCATTATCTTAAAAAATAGATCACTATGTGGATTCGTACTGGTCAGGGCTTTGGGCAGTCAAATAACATCTGGAGGGCTACAGGTTACCCGTTTCAATCTTTAGTTCTTTCACCTAAAGAAATGTTGCCTGACCATAATTTGGAAGGTTTAAATAAAAAAATCTCTTATCATGGATAGGCATTTGCTTCCCAAGTCATCAGATTCTACAGTCTATATAGATAAAAGACACATCCCATCTCCCTTGACGACTCTTTAGATGGAGATTACATTGTCTGTCCGAGATAGTTGGATTTCAACTTCTGCCACTTGTGATCACTGGCTGTATTAGTGAAGACTGATGTTACCAAGCAGGGATTTGAGATGTGGCCTCCAAACTTCTAGCCCAGTGACGGCAAACCTTTTTGGGCTCGTGTGCCCAAAATGAGAGGGGGGGGGAGAAACCAGCGGCTGTCATGCCACCTGGAAGACTGGAACTGGAAGTGGCAGTTGCAGGGGGAATCATGGCGACGGACACAGAACAGGAAGAGAAATGGGGAGGAATCATGGTGACACAGAACAGGAAGAGAAAGGGGGAGGAATCATGGCGACAGACACAGAACAGGAAGAGAAAGGGGGAGGAATCATGGTGACACAGAACAGGAAGAGAAAGGGGGAGGAATCGTGGCGACACAGAACAGGAAGAGAAAGGGGGAGGAATCATGGCAACGGACGCAGAAGAGGAAGGGGGAATCCCAGCTGCAGGCACTTCAAAGGTTCCTATCCACAAGGGTGGGTGAGAGGGCCACTAACTTGTTGTGTGCCCGAAGAAAGGGCTTTGCGTGCCACCTGTGGCATGCTTGCCATAGGTTTGCCATCACTGTCCTAGCCCGACTTTGTATCCACTGCACCACAGTGGCCCTCAGTCACCTTTCAAATGAATTTATTTTAGTCTGAGTATTACAGTCTAATCTCCTAATTCATGAAACCTCACATTAATTCATTTGTCAGTCTTCAATGTTGCACAGTACTTATACTGGCATATGAATGCATTTATCTTCCACCTCTCTCCCTGTTCTATATTATGATGCCTCTTAAACTGTAATTCTATCTATACATTCTTATGTAGGTGCAAATGTTGAATGCGAAGACATTTATTTCTGAGTAAACATGCACAGCATTCCACTTTTAGGGCAATTCCATTGGTTTAATCTGTGAACTGTGTTCAATGCTTTGGCAGAATTATGGTACATAAGGAGATGTAAATATGTTTTAATGTATAAAAACAATTTAGTTGAAAAGAATGAGCAATCTGAGAGGTAAAGACCAACTGTCGTCAAGCAATCTGACTTACTGAGCATTTCTTGCCTAGAAAATTGCTAGAAACTGGAAATGGTGAAAAAATATATCAAGACTTTTCTTCAAAGTGCCCTGCTGATTTCCAAGGTCGAAATCAAACCATCAGACTAGAGATGGGGATATCTGTATTCATAAATTAATATATATATATATCTCCATTTCAAAGATACACCTAATGCAGGTATGGCCCTTGGAACCAGCCTGTCCTCATGCGCTGGCATGCCGCCAGCCTCTCACTCCTCTTGCCAATCACAGTAATTCCACTGTCTTCCTGCTCTTCTAGCCACCCAGCAGTTGTGTGGGGAGATTTGTCCTCCCACCCCCCTGCCTGGAGTGGCCAGCCAAGCCAGATGGTGGCGGAGCTACTTTTGTGATTGGTGAAAACAGCAGAAGGCTGGCACTGCATGAGTGGATGGACTGGGCCTGCATTAGGTGCACTTAGGATTGGGATATTCGTATTTGTTTACGAATACAAATATCTGTCTCTACATCAGACTCTGAGGAGACTGTATCATAAGTTGTGTAACCATGCTTCCCTTACAAACATCAGTTCACTTACATTCTATAAAAAAACGAGTATATTTTTCATAGGAAGTCAGGTTACCTCTAGTTACTATCTCAGTGTCTTATACATGCATCCTACTATGAAATACGCTGCATTTCCAGTTACCATGCTCTATAAGTGTTATCATTTGCACAGAATATATCAGTTTATATTTAGAGTACGTCTGTAATTCACAAGTGTATGTTTCAAGCTGGTGTCATACCTAGGCTTTCTAAAGAAATTAAGCAGGTCATTGTTCAACTAAATTTGTTTATTTCCATTTTTTTCCAATTCCAAACCAAAGCTAAATACAAATTTTAAACAGATAAGCACTAGATTTACCCAAGGGAGTAGGCTTATACAGATTTGCTTCAGTAAAATCACTCAACCCTCAGGCAAAACATTCTTTGCCAAAACTATACAGTAGTCTTCCTTATACTCATTGCACAATCTTAAACAAAATATGTTCTGTCAAAACCAACTTTGACACTCCAAACAATATTTTACAATTAAATCCACAACTGCTTTAGAAATGTTATTCCTCCCCCCTCCCCAAAACAGAACCTCAGAGGGTTTTCCCGTAAGAAATGTTTTAGAAACCAGCATTTCCTACACAGTTCACCAGCAAGTTTACAAGTCAACTCTCAGAAAGAAATAATCCTCTGCCAACATGTTTCTGCAGCTGTTATTTTCAATTTTGCTGCTTTAGGCTTCTCCAGACTCCAGGTCTGTAAAAATGTATTCAACTCAACAGAACACTCTATTTAATTATACAGCAAACTGGGGAAAGAGATCCAAACATGAGAATGCCAGTAAACTCAAACATGGCCAAGCAAAATAAGAGAGGCAAATAATGCCTACACCAAATGAGATGCTTTTTTTTTCCTTAAAAGATTTCTTTCCCATGGTTATCCATCCACTGTAACAAGCCATAAACCTATTTATCAGAATGAATCTGACACAGCTGTGATACAATCATGTGAACAGCAAAGCTTATAAGGCTCTTAGACCATTACATTCACTTCTCACCCTATGCAATCTGATATTGGGGGACATGACCAGCACAAATGGGAACACCACCATAAAATGATCACTTTGTGCTCTCAGATACATTTCTTTCAGTGTGTATCAGTCCCTTCATTTCACATTTTGGTAGGATGCTCATGCAATGCAGAAATATGCAGAGCATTCTCTTTCACAAGGTCCATGCAGAAAACATCTAAAAAAATTTAAGTTCTGAGATACAAATGATTTAAAAAAAAATAATCCAGGATGATCAAGTTCCACGATGGATAGTGTTCTGAACATATGTCCATTTTCTTCTATTCCGAAAGAATAAATGGCGAGAAAAGTGAAAAAACACACTCCTGCATTCTGTGATCTTCCCCATTTTGCTGGCCAGTACCCTATTCTGGCATGTAAGGACGGAGGTGCTCCTCTACGGTACCAACCGCCCAGTGGGTGAGCTGCTCCTGTGGCAGATACAGGCAGATGCTGCATAACTTGAAGATTGTAGCTTTGTTTTTTGGAGTCTGGAAAGAGATACATAAATCTACTTCAGAACCAAGCAATATTTATAAACGTTTTCTAAAAAAATCTTTGTAAATTTCTCTCTTCTTTCCATTAGCAAGAAGACATGGAACAAAGGACAGTGCAATACTAAAAAACAACAACACACACCACAGCATTTAGTCTCTGTGTGGCGTGTGGGGAATACAGAATTTGATTAGAGTTCTGATCCTGCCTTCTCCAGCAGGAGAGTACAAACATAAATCATTATGCTTTGTAAAAAGTATCTACATGGAAGCTATGCCACAACAAATGGCAAATGTTACCAATGCACGTGTAAATCTTAATTCCACATTAACAGAAATTCAAATACTGAATGTTTCACTGTACTAGACAGAAAACCTGTTATATCAGTATGCCCCACAAAACATATTACACATTCTGCAGCAAGATGAAATCCAGATAGAGCAACAATTTTAATATTCTTCCATGATAATCAGTTCTACTTGTATTTCTTGACTGTATTTAAGATAAGAAAACAGCTGTTGAATCAGATGAGATATAAGAACTAGTGTTCAAAGATGTTTACCTGCAAGTGCTGTCTGTCAATGAAGAGAAACACTGACTGGTTAGGGTTGTTGATAACAATTCCAGTCTTGTCCTTTCGGCTCAGTACATGCAGAAACTGTTTTTCATAGTCACCATGATGAAATTCAAACCTGGCCTGGGAGAAATAATAACAAAACAGGCAGTTTTAAAGATGTACAAGAAAACTTTAATCTAAAACTAAGTTTCTTTGAACGACTACAGTAGTGACAGGCAGGCTTCATGTTTGTAAATGTTTTGATTAGAATCCCAGACTAACATTTGGAGTCAGTAGCACAAAATTCAGGAATTTTCAATTCAGGAACTGGAAAGGAGCTCAGTCCTTTCATACAAAAAACACCCATGGCTCCCTCCTCTGCTTCATTTTAACACTGTAATTTAAGACAGGAGCAGTCTTTCATTTATTTTTCTTAAAATAGTGGGGAATCAGGTCTTGCCAATCTACTAGAAATCACCCAAAGATTTGTAGTTTTAGGCTTAACTTCTATCTACTCCTAAGTATGGAGTGAAGGAGTTACAGACAACTTGAAGTTAGAGCCACTAAAAAAAAGTAGCAATTTAAATGACACTAAATACGAGATCCACCTCTCCTACGAAAAGTGTATCAAGCTACTAGATCAGTGCTTACCTTTATATAAACAACTACCCGTGTTTCCCCAAAAATAAGACAGGGTCTTATATTAATTTTTGCTCCAAAAAACACATTAGGGCTTATTTTTCAGGGGGTGCTTTATTTTTTTAAATGTACATCTATCTACATTTATTCAAATACAGTCTTGTCATTTTCTGATTGCTGCACAATGGTGGAGGGCAGGGTTTCACTTAACTGGGCCTTATTTTTGGGATAGGACTTATATTACGAGCATCCTGAAAAATCATACCATTTTCAGCTTAGTTCTTATTGTCAGGGAAACAGTACATTTTGGATACATACAGCAGGTAATATAATAATCATGTGCTGTCAAGTCAATTCTGACTTATGGTGACCCTTTTCAGGATTTTCTACGTGGAGAGTACTCCAAAGTGATTTATCCTTCCCATCTTCTGGGGACACCCTGGGACTGTGTAGCTTGCTCAAGGCCATGCAGGGTGGCTCTACTCACAGGAGGCATAGTGTGGGATCAAACTCACAAACTCTGCAGCCAGGTACTTAAACCCCTGAGGAATACCAGACTGATAATAGTTCTGTGTAAATTTACTAAAGACAAAAACAACAATATTCAAAACCAAATTAATATAAAGTGAATCTGAGACAGCTGCAGACTGTCACATGGGCTAAACATTGTCTGTTCCAAAGTAATCTCACTCCTGATCCCAATGCCACAAAGACCCAAAACACCTTTCCATGTTTACACTGTGGCAACATCCTGCCTTGTAGTCTAACCAAAGAATAAAAACAAAAAGTTCCAGAAATCACTTATGAGCGGAGAAAAAACAGTCAGCTCACATTAAAAGTGTAACTTAACATGGAGTTAAATAGGATTCAACTTCAAAACATATACCTGAACAGGCCTAAAGGGCTCATCATCGGATCCCTTCCACCTAGAAAACAGAAGACAGACTATCTTCTCAATATCGTTCCGAGGCCAAAGTATAAAGTCCATCTCTTGTGTACAGCCAATCACATCCTGAAGGAACAAAACAAAATTTTAAAAAATCTATATTCTAGTGTGAAAACACACATATATGTCTGTGGGAAAAATTAATAACTGTCTGCTTCAGCAACTTTCATATTCTATGGATAATGTTAATACTTTTCTTACTCTTTTAACTTTATTTAAACACTACAAATTAAAGTCTGTGTCTAATGTTTAGTTATACATCATTTCTAACACAGAATTCAGAACCCAGTCCTATTATAAATAAAGCTTTCACCCTGGCAATAAACTTACTAGGTTTTTTTTTAAAAATACTACTTGTTCTAAAAATTTCCAAAGGAGTAGTGGTGCTAGTCTGTCTCAGCGTACTGGCAAAAGAAAAGGTGAAAAAGAAAATAGAAAAAAAAACCCTGTAGCAATGTAAACATCAACAATTTTATTTCTGGAAAAACTGATTGATCCACAAAAGCTCACACTGAATTGAAACTTCAGTACTGTGCAAACTTCCAGAAATTTAGCAGCAAATTTCTTTACTGTATTTAACAATTTTCCTTTCTCCTAGAAACAAAGACCTAGTTTCAAAGCATTTCCCCCAAAATTTATTCCCAGTTTTACTGTCTTTATCAAGATCAATAAAATCAAATGTACTATTTACAGAAATTGTAAATTACAAAAAAAAACCCTAACAGATTTTTTTTGGGTTTGATTTCAGAGCAGGCCCAATTTCATGGTCTTACATCATGGTCTTACTGTATTCCAATTACACATTTAAGTTTTTAACAAGCTAATTTTATTACACTACAAACAGCTGAAAGAAAGAGGAAAATAAAAATTTGAAAGAGACCAGGATAATTAGAAGTACTAGATCAGCAATGGCGAACCTATGCTGGCACACAGAGCCTTTTCTGCGGGCACGCAAGCCATAAGTCGCTGGATCGTTCCCCCCGGCAGCCAAACCTGAGTCAGGATGCGGCTGCAGCCGTGGTGCTGGTGCTTCAACAGGTGGCGAGCCAGGATTCAGAGCAGCTGACACTGCCAGTGGATCTGAAGTGAGGTCTCGAGGCACCTTCGTGCCCAGGATTCCCCCTTCTGCCACCACTTCTGGTTCCACCACCAGCATGGCACACTGCCCACTGTCCCCCCCCCCCCGGTTTGGGCACTCAGACCAAAAAAGATTATAAATGATACAAAGTATTCTAGTACTGTACAGCTTTCTTTCTTGATTTGCTACGTGTCATCAAGTCATAGCTTATTTATGGCAACTGTAATAGTTTTCAAGCTTTGTGATATACTTAAACAGTGGTTTTACCAGTGGCACCACTTTGTAAGTTTCCATTATTTAACAAGCATTTGAGTTTCCATGACTGAACTGGCCCAGGTCTCCTAAGTCCTGGTTAGCCACTTTATCCACTACACCATACTGGCTCTCCTTCTTGGCAGACAGGATAAAAACTATGAAAATCATGCATTTAAATGCATCCACATACAAACTGGACTTTACATAGAAAACAGAGCAAACTCTCTGGACCAGACAATAAGTCACAGGACCAGTCTGGGGGCACAAAGCATTAAGAAACTTACTACTCAATATTTGAAAAAATCCCTAAGCTTTTGTAAGCTATTTGGTGCACCTGAAGAAGTTTTCTCTATCCTATCTGACTATATCTAGATCAAATGTAACCAACATGGCACATTACATACATTTCCAGTGATTCTTCATAAACCTAGACCACTGGCTATGCCAGCTACAAATGGGAGCTACAATCCAACTTATCTTGAGCATACTGGGTTACTTAATCTTCATCTAGATATTTGACCAAGAAGCACATATGAATGTTAATAAAATCATTCAAAAACAAAGTGAAAAATTATCTTACCCTGCGCATAGACTGATAGCGGGGTGCATGCAGCTGTACCACATCCTTTTGTAGAAGCTCTATGGAACTTTCCAAGGAATAGCTGGAATCCCGCACACCTTTCAGGATATTTTCTTCATAATTATTTGTCATGACTGGTATCACTTCAGACACTTCAAAGAGTGCTGACTTTTTCCTCTTTTCAGAGTAAACAAAGAGAATACATTTCTGAGCAATGCACTGAAACAATGTTTTAGCTACAATACACCTTAATGTATACTATAACTTCCACTCATCAAAAGTACTGAGGTCCTGCCATTGCACCTAATACATAAAAATTAACAAAAATAATATCCTAAGGAGACAAATACTGAGTAAGAATGTGCAATCATTAGCAATTAAACTGTTTATGCTAAATAAACAACATACATATTCCATTCAGATTTCAGATCAGTTTTGAAAACAATAAGTAATTAGTAACCATCAGAAGTGAAATTACCTTGTCTTTGAATACAAAGGCAATATACATCTTGAAATCAAACTGGTCAGCTAGAGATTCTTTTTTCTTTTTAAGCTGAGCACGAAGTCTGTTCAGAGCTTGTTTCTTCCGGGAGTTTGGGTCCCCCATTTTGTAATACAGATGGTACTAAAGCCTTTAGAAACTGTCACTAACTATGGGCCCTTTTTTCATAAGACTCAAGTACAACAGAAACAAGTCATTTTATTCCTGGTCATGCCACTGAATCAGTAAAACACAGGCATAACCCTAAAATGCACCTCAGGCAATTGTTTTACAAGACTGTCTTATTAGAGGGGTCATAAAACAAAATAAGTAGTCCAACCATCATTGGACAAAGTTTGTGCAGTATTATTAAAGCCCAAAGAAATTTGAAGAAAATACACTGATATACACAGTTTAAACCACAGGAATAAATGGGCAAGAATGGACAAAAAATCTTATCACAATTTGTGTGCATAAAAAAAAGCAACAGTGGGCATGGACCCAATCCATTTGGGCGTTGTTTCCTTCCCTCAAACCCCCAAATCCAAACAAAAACTGAAATTAAAAACAGTGTTCTAATCCACCCAGATTCATGACTCTGCTGATTATTATCAAGATTTCTGCTATTGCTATGCTGACTGGCTTAATTTTTTTAAAGAGAATTATTAGACTTGGTAGAAAGCAAAGAAGGGATTGCAGAACAGGAGTGGACGTCCTGGGAGGTAAGTCGTTTCCCTACCAACAACAAAATCAACCACAGACAACAAGGTGCTGGTTTGCAGAGGAGCAAGGAGTTTGGAAAACAGCAGAGTCATTTCTAACTTCATCCTGCTCATCATCAGGCACATGGCCGCCCTGAGGCTACGTCTGTTAGAAAGGAGAGGGATCATGATGGCCATTAATAAAAGGGCGAGAAAGGAAGCTAAGGGGCACTCTCTTAGGATCCAGAATGCTTTGGATCCCAAGGCGATCTTTCAATTTAGCTCTCTCCCCACCCCCCGGGACGGGAGACAGACCGCTATCCCCAAACAAGTGTTCCTTCCCTCCGTCTATCCACGGATAGAGCGAGGAAAATCCTCCTCCCTCTGCCGCTTGACACCGCAAGGAGCGCGGTTTTAATTGGGGCTGGGCATGGCTGGCGCGACCGGCCTTCTGGCGGGCTGCTTCTGCCCTTTTTTGCTCGAGAGGGGAGCGGGCAGGGCAGGGCGGGCCGGGCTCAGCGCCGTGGGGGCGGGAGAGGCACTCAAGTCTACGGCCCAGAATCCACACTTGCCCTCATGGCCTCTCTTCTAGGCATCGATCGACTCGGGCTCGTCAACAAAAAGAGAGAAAGGGGGGGAGGGGGGAGGAAGGGGAGAAAAAAAAAAGGACACGCCAAGAGGTCTCAATGGCAAAACATGGGTTCCCACCGATAGGTTTTCCGCGTTGTAAACAACAACGAATGGAAAAGGGAGGGGGGGAGAAATGTGTTTGCGGACAAACACTGGAGTTCAAAAAATTAAAGAGAGGGAGGGAGATTAACCCACCCTTCCCTGCTCGCAGTTGTCTGGGTCAGGTTTAGTTGTGGTTTCCAAAAAGACCCCCCTTCCTTCCCCACACACTTCAACCTTCGCTCATAAAAAAACAAAATAAGGCGTTTCCCTTCCCCCTCTTTTTTGAGCCCCAGCCGAGAGGCTCGGGCAACAAGAAAGACCGGACCGGACCCGGAGACCACGGGGTGGACCGGCTCGCTACCCGCAGCCGGCGGGCGCGGGCGGAGCAGTGGAGGCGGTGGCGGCGGCGCTGCTAGCAGCACGGGCAGGAGCCATGTCAAGATAAAGCCACCAAGAAGCCGCCGAGCTCCCCCATCCCCGCTGCGCTGTTCACGACGACCGGGCCGCCCGCTCTGCCGCTGCTCAGCCCCAGCAGCCTGGTCCCCATAGCCTAAGCTCGGCGCCCCGGAGCCGCCGGGGGAGGGCAAATGGTGGCGGCGGAGGAAGGAGGAGGAGGAACAGGAAGGACGAGAGGAGGAGGAGGAGGCGGTGGCAGCGGCGGCGAAGCGAGGCCGGGCCGGGACGTCCCTGAACTACAGGCTCCTACTAAGAAAAGGGCAAAAGGCAAGAGAGCGACCGAAGTCCCCCCCGCCGGTCCCCTCTCAAGCGACGGATAGCGCGGAGGAATCTCACGGGCCGAATGACGCGGGAAGAGGCGAAAACAGGACCAGCCGTCAGCTCCGAATCCCCTCAAAATGGCAGCCGACGCCGTTCCTCCTCGCCTGAGTCACACGCAGACAGGCTCCGCCCGTGACTTGACACGCAGGCGCCCTGCCGTGGACGGTACCATCTCGGGAACAACGGGGGGGTAGGGAGAAAAAGGAGGAAAAGACGACGACAGCCACACTGTTTTCCTAGGTCTCTGGATTTCCCGCCGTGTCAGAGACCCAAACTGCGCCAGCTGCTTGTTATATCCTCGCAGCCGGAACCTGTGCGTTGAAAAAAAATGCCTCAGGCGGCTTTTCAAAACCCATATTCCCAATAAACAAACCTTCCTGACTTGCTTCTGAGTACACAAGACCAGTTAGGTCGGATGTGCAAAGCGTCGGGGCTCTTAACGGGACAGGAAGGTTGATTTCTGTCAGCGTCACCCCGAACCAAGCAGGGCTACTTGAAAGCAAACTTTCCGTTTCACTGGGTTTACTTGCGAGTAAAATAAAAAAAAAGAGGGGCGTGAGATATCGTAAAATAGTAGAGCGCTGGAAGCGCACTTTCCGAGAACCAAATATGAGCCTTGAAGGGCGTTTGGGGTTCCGCCCCAAACCTTGCATCAGGCTGCTGTGCCGTGTGAACTACATTGGGAGTAACTCCGAATGGAACTCGGGTGTTAATTCAGAGGAAACGTGCAGAGGTTAGAGAAAGCCTCTTCAGGCATGAGGTGACCGCCTGATTGAAAGCTGGGTTAAACCTGGAAGAGTTTTGTGCTTAAAAAGCTTGCTTACTCTTCGAATACAGACACTGTTGCGACAAAATGTCAGTTTAACCTCCTTGGCATTTTTTTCAGATGCCGCCGGTCTTTCGCCCTGACCTGGGGCTCCGCACCATTAAGAGCTGCTTGGCAATCCAGTTCTAAACCGGTTCAGGTCGCGCCGGGCAGCTGTTAAAATGCACAAAGGTATGCAAGAAAAGAGGATAATACTGCTCCCTCTTTCGAAGAGCGGCAGTAATATCAGTCAAGTTCAGCGGTTTAACGGGCCGCACGCTCCCTCGAGTCAGGCTGTAGTAAAAGACCTATTCAGCGTCATCAGCCGGAAGCATAGTCGGAGGCCTGGGTTCAAATTCTTGCTCGGCCAGGGAAACTCACTGAGGGATGGCAACACCACCAATGAAGCCGTCCTAGGTCGGAAGCGATCTGACGGCACAAAATAGACCTATTCCGCTCCTTCCTATAGAGAACGAGCTCCCTTTTCTCCAACCCTGTCAGGGCATCACCTTCGATTTCCGCATTGTATATGGTATACGCCCTTTGTCCGGACGGGGAGATTCGATCCTTCTCACACTACACGAATGCAAGAGTAGGCGATACCTTTTATTGGACCATTAAAAGCTAAAGCAAGTTGCTGTACGCAATATGAAGCAGGTTATGCGCGCCACGTTTCCCCCCCACAAGACAGCGGAAGCTACAGAGAATGCGCGCAAAGATGGCCCCAGAAATTCGAACGAGGAACCGGAGGGCGCGAACCCTTCCCGCGCAATTCCCTTTGCCGCTCCGCGGTGTGGGAGCGGCAAAGGGAGCTAATTTCTGCCCGGAGACAGTCGCCCTCGCCCCGCCCTCTCCTTCTCGATAGCACCCGGAACGTCTGACGTAAGCTGTCCCGCCATTTATCCGGCTCGCCGTACTGTGGCCCCCGAAGCAATTTCCGGATTCGTTTTGTGAGCGGGATGGGGTTGTCACAATCAAACAGCAGAGGCGGCTACTTTGGCCTTTTGGAAACTGCAAAACCGACGCAAAGATGATACTTGTAATAAGCCAACAAAAAAGGGTATAAGACAAAGGCACCCTTTAGAGATTCGTTTTAGGACGATATTAAGCCAAAAGAAAAAGAAACATTAGAGAAAAGGGCTATGGCACCTTAAAGACTGCTATATTTTAATGTGTGCTTTCATGCATCAAGTCCTTTTCCTCAGAAACTTCTTCTGAAGAAAAGGACTTGATCTTAGAAAGCGCACATTAAAATATAGCAGTTTGTCTTTAAGGTACCACACCATTTTTGTCTCTTTCTTTTTGTTATTATTTTTGTTTTTGCCCTGATATGCTTACCTTTTCTAAAACTAAAGAGATGTGTCATAGGAGGGAGAGAGAAGCTCCAGCCACCTAGTGTCTTGAGATGTTATGAATTCACAGGTTCTGGCTGAAGTGACTTGATGGAAAACAGCGATCAAGCAATCATCCTGTCACCAAGCCAGGATATATTAGGTATTGGTTTGGTTAAAGCAGGGGTGGGCAATTAATTTCTATAGGGGCCACATGAAAAATCTGAACTGGTTCATGGGCCGAACCAACTTTACTTAAAAATAAAAGATAAACAACCGATCAACTTTAGACAAAAAGATATAAATGGTTTTGATGTTCAACTTGTTCAGTGAGAGAAATCCAGTCTGTCTTGGGTTTGAACAAGTGCTTGAACACCAGACTGGAGCGACGACCGGCAGGCCAGACAAGAGCAACTTGCAGGCCATATGTGGCCCTCGGGTCGCACTTTCCCCAGGTCTGGGTTAAAGGAAGTAGTAGCCAAATTAATTAACTTTGGTGGAAGAATATACTGTGAGGGGGCTGTACCCTTATTGAGCAAACTGGCAGTTACGTGTGCCATGCTGGTAGAAATTATGATTCTTCACTGTTGAGCAGCTAAACCGAAGCAAAACATTTCAAAAAAAAAGAGAGGACATTTTCACATATGTAAAATATACTGGCACTTAAGTGCTGAGCAATGCAGTTTCTATCTGGTGGTTTCGAGGGGAGTGGGAGCTTTGAGTGACTTTGCTAATAATTACAAGTTAGGTTTTACAGTACAGAATGGAAGGCTGACCTAAGAAACAGAGGTGGAGCATCAAATGGTGCCCTCTCGAAAGTGCAGATACCCAGCATACTACCTCTTTAAATATAGGACTTGTCTACATGGGTTCTTTTGGAGCAGGCTGGTGGGGGCTAAATAGGGTTGCTTGAACTATTTTTATGCTGCCTGAACCTGTCTGTGTGGTTTATTAAAAAGCAAGTGCTACTGATTTCAGTAACAAGTGTCCCTTAATAAGTGTGCATAGAGAGTTGTAATATACTTCAGATTCCAGGTACAGCACAAATACAGAGCTTAACCACAGAGCAAGTAAATAATAGACTAATAAAATCCATGCAAAGCAAATCACTCTGGCCTGTAAAGCAAGCTAAACTCTAAATAAAATCCTTCCATGATAATTAATTCTGCTCTCACCTATCCCAGATTTTATTTTTTAATTGAAGGTTTACTTCAGTTCTGGACATGTCTGTGCTTGCTCTCATAAACCATGGCTATCACAGCAAAGTACAATAAACTGTCCAATTCGTTTCGTTTAGTCGTTTAGTCGTGTCCGACTCTTCGTGACCCCATGGACCAGAACACGCCAGGCCCTCCTATCGTGTACTGCCTCCCGGAGTTGTGTCAAATTCATGTTGGTTGCTTCGCTAACACTGACCAGTCATCTCATCCTTGGTCGTCCCCTTCTCCTCTTGCCATCACACTTTCCCAACATCAGGGTCTTTTCCAGGGAGTATTCTCTTCTCATTAGATGGCCAAAGTACTGGAGCCTCAGCTTCAGGAGCTGTCCTTCCAGTGAGCACTCAGGGTTGATTTCCTTTAGAACTGATAGGTTTGTTCTCCTTGCAGTCCAGGGGATTCTCAAGAGTCTCCTCCAGCACCACAATTCAAAGGCATCAATTCGTCGGCGGTCTGCTTTCTTTATGGTCCAGCTCTCACTTCCATACATCACGACAGGAAAAACCATAGCTTTGACTATTCGGACTTTTGTTGGCAAGGTGATGTCTCTGCTTTTTAACATGCTGTCAAGATTTGTCATCGCTTTCCTCCCAAGAAGCAGGCGTCTTTTAATTTCGTGGCTGCTGTCTCCATCTGCAGTGATCATGGAGCCCAGGAAAATAAAATCTGTCACTGCCTCCATATCTTCCCCTTCTATCTCCCAGGAGGTGATGGGACCAGTGGCCATGATCTTAGTTTTTTTGATGTTGAGCTTCAGACCATTTTTTGCACTCTCTTCTTTCACCCTCATTACAAGGTTCTTTAATTCCTCCTCACTTTCTGCCATCAGAGTGGTGTCATCTGCATATCGGAGGTTGTTGATATTTCTTCCGGCAATCTTAATTCCGGCTTGGGATTCCTCCAGTCCAGCCTTCTGCATGATGTATTCTGCATATAAGTTGAATAAGCTGGGAGACAATATACAGCCTTGTCGTACTCCTTTCCCAATTTTGAACCAATCAGTTGTTCCATATCCAGTTCTAACTGTTGCTTCCTGTCCCACATATAGGTTTCTCAGTAGATAGATAAGGTGGTCAGGCACTCCCATTTCTTTAAGAACTTGCCATAGTTTGTTGTGGTCCACACAATCAAAGGCTTTTGCATAGTCAATGAAGCAGAAGTAGATGTTTTTCTGGAACTCTCTGGCTTTCTCCATAATCCAGCGCAAGTTAGCAATTTGGTCTCGAGTGCCTCTGCCTCTTCGTAATCCAGCTTGTACTTCTGGGAGTTCTCGGTCCACATACTGCTGAAGCCTACCTTGTAGGATTTTGAGCATAACCTTGCTAGCGTGTGAAATGAGTGCAATTGTGCGGTAGTTGGAGCATTCTTTGGCACTGCCTTTCTTTGGGATTGGGATGTAGACTGATCTTTTCCAATCCTCTGGCCACTGTTGGGTTTTCCAAACTTGCTGGCATATTGAATGTAGCACCTTAACAGCATCATCTTTCAAGATTTTAAATAGTTCAACTGGAATGCCATCACCTCCACTGGCCTTGTTGTTAGCCAGGCTTTCTAAGGCCCACTTAGAGTTATGAAACTGCCCACTTAGAGTTATGAAACTGTCCAATACAAGTTTCCATTTAACAGTTCTTGTTGGCACTTACCAATATATTTCCAGGTAAAACCTTTGAATCAATGCTTGAAATGGATAAATGTTTGGCAGCTTGTGGCTCTGCAGATGTTGCTATACAACAATTCCCATCAACAGTGTCAGTGGTGAGGGACAATTGGATTTATACTCCAACAAGATCTAGACTAAAAAACCAGACATTGCCTATCTCTGAGAGAGATCCCAGGTCTATGTCAACTGGTTTTTAAAAGCTCATGAGTTATGATCCAAACTTACTAAACCAGACTTTGTCTCAAAGTTTTTTAAGCAAACATAGACTTTTAAAACCAAAACTGGTTTAAAAAAATATTTATGGAACTTGAAA